TGTTCATTTTGGGGAAAAAACTTACCAAGGATAAATTCCCTACCAAGAAAAAACTAGAGTACGCCAGATAAGAAAGTTGGTCGCTAAGCCTAACAAGTGTTGTAATTTTGTAGGTAGTGTTTGTGGACTAGCAAATGCAATGCATTCTTGTAAAAGATATTAACTAATATTGACTGGGCAATATGGCAAGGTTTCGTACACGTCGCTGTTTTTAATGGCAAAAAAAATCTTGACATGGATTTTCACTAGAATTAGCAAACTTATGACAAAGAGAAAATTACTGCAGCAGGATGGAAGAGGAGGCCTTTGGCGACGATTCTGCTAGAAAAACTAAACGTACTTTTACTGAAACTTGTCTTTAAACAGCCAGAATGAGCCAGAATGAGTTAATGCTAGGATGACGTTCTCCTGGTCGGAAATAGCATTCCCTTTCCTCTCTGAATGAGCTCCTCAATTGCTTTGGACAGCAAATTATACCGACCAGGCTTCATAAAATTAGGACTCAAGTACATCGTCAACCTGCTTGCACCTTGCTCTTGTTTCAAAGGCGCCTTTAAAAAGCAAGCTTATCCCTGATATGATCTTTTGTCGGCCCTCAGAAGGAAAAGAAACGTTGACAACGCAGAGGGTGAAATCACCATTGTTTTGAATTATCGGGCTTTGTTCATCTTAATATTAGCGACATAGGTGTGAGACAAAAAGGCCGCGGCAAGATTTTTTTTTGAATTCTTTTAGCGAAGAACTTGACCTAGTAATACCGAGTGAGGCCTCTTGATAATAATTCTAGAGATTGCTCCATAATGAATACATGAGCATATCAGAGTTGAAATTCTGTGGGCGTCGCAGGCACTGTGCACTGCAAATTCAGTGGCATATCTTGAATGAAGATATTTCATCGCTGGAAGAAGTCCCCACAAGAATTTAGAAATGTTGGAACGAAAACTACACGATTTTTGTTCACTGTTGTATCTATTTGTTGCTTGCGTTAGCACATAGTTATTTTCGCTGAATATTTATTGCCTTTAATGGGGCTCAACGGCCTCTGCTATGCGTATAATGAAAATATATTTACCATATTCTTATGCTTTGTTTTTGTGAATTGGGAATGCAACTAATGCGACAGTTTCCTCACCATCAGTGGTGAAATGGTCGGTTACCGAAACGGACTCCAACCCACGAAGACGGAGTATGCAAGGGGTCTGTGTCAGTTTTCAAAAAAGCTTTTATTCTGCTTAGGTTAGATAGAACTAGCGATTTCCGCTTAAAGTAGGGGAAGCGCTTTCACAAAATATCACGTGGATAGGAAAGTCTTCGTCAAAAATCTCATCTTTCAACCAAACTTTATAGCTTTGATTTAAGAAAACTGAATTGAGTCGGTTTATTTTCAATATGTGTTGTATCCTGCCTTAGCTAAAGAAAAGAATTTTAAACGCGATTTTGTCATGAGCTTCAATGACTGCAGCTGAAGGTAGGTAGCTAATATGGAAGGATTTAGATTATTTGCATTAATTTCTCAGAAAATTTTTTCATAGAACACAAATTAATTGAAGGCTAACTGCGCGAGAATTGGCTAGAGGTGGCAGTTGCTGTCATTTCCTTTTTTCTGGGACTTGACAAATTTTTTGGAAGTTACTAACGTACTACTACCTTTACTAAGTAATCTTGCCAATTAAAAGGATAAATACGTTTTTTGTAGAGATTTTTCCTCTAGATAATTCCATCAACGCAAATGATGGTCGAAAACTTTTCGTAAATTTTTGCTTTGAAGGAAATTTCGTCAGCAGTCAAGTAATACAGCTTGTCTACCTCCTTCACCATTGTTATAGAAGTGCAAATTTGAAAACTTTTGACAACTTCTCTGCCGCAGAAAATTCTCACTGCACCTAAAAAAAGATTTGAGATTCACAAATACCTCATATCTACGAAACCAGCAGAAGTTCTCTTCAAGAATGGCACGGTATCTCGCTGTCTATACTAGGAACAAGTAAATTTTCGATAGTACAGTAACTTGAGCAAGATCTTCCGATGAAACTAATCTGGAACGATTTCGAGCATTACAAAGCTTTGACAATGGGGTGAATAGCAGCGTCGACTGACATGCCCACAAGTGAATTACCTTTTTTCCGTAAGCAATTCGTAAGCCTATAAAGTTATTTGAATACCACAAGGAAGGCTATGCAGCAGAGTATAGCGCCCTTTGATGATGTGCGAATTTTCGCGGAATAATGTGTAGTTTTCGAGAAAAAAATTATTCTTCAACCTCGTAACGACATAACGACACTTTTTGTAAATTATGGAAAAGAGCAAGCAGTTTCATTGAGCTATCACTCAGAACAAGTGGAAATTATGGCCTGCTACTTGCTTTGGAAATATTACTACACTAGCAGTTGTGGCCGATGGTGTCGATAGACGTTATCGATTTTGTGTGAGTCTATCCGCAATACCCTTCTATTTAGAAAGTTCGAAAAATTTTTACTTACGAAATCGATATAAAGCAGTTATGAAAAGCAGCTTCAGAATGACAGCTTCCCTAGCCTTAGGATCTGGGCCCATATTCATAAAAGGAGTTTGGAATTCCAAAC